TATACATATACACACACATGGTGTCCCATTTTAACTTTCACATCGTAATATTTCAAAAACCATGCATTTTCAAAAAAAAAAATGTTTCAGACAAAAGTTATTTGATTTAAAGGGGGACGTAAGAAGGTGCCATTGGTTTGATCTTGGACAGTCGTTTGAAGGTCACCTTTAACTTCTTAAATGGAAATCCCCATTTTCCATTATATATTCTTGTAGTTTAGCTCGAGAGCACTATAATAAAGTATTTTCAAAACACTATAATAAAGTATTTTTTCATTAAGTATTTTTTGAATTATTTTATATCTTAATCTGACATATTTTGATATAAAAACTAAAATATCTCGTAAAATATTTAGTTTTCGATAATCTTACCGTTATACTTTTATGTACAGAATAATGATACAAATCAATTTGTGTAAAAAATCATATAATTGTTAAAAAAGATACATTGTAAATAATTAATCTTTTCTTAAAAACAATTATTTTTTTTTTATATCAATTGATTTGTCTTATTATTCTGTGCATAAAAGCATTACTACAAAATTATCAAAAATTAAATATCTTACGAGATATTTTATTTTTTATATCAAAATGTCAGATTAAGATATAAAATAACTAAGATTATGTAATGGAAAATGGGGGTTTCCATTTAAGAAATTAAAGACTTTTCTGACCTTCACGCATAGACATAGTATATCTAGACCGAGTGTTGAGGAGTGGGAGCCGAGGTGCACGTAGAAAAGGACATACTCTGTTTCGTGCTCCTTGTCACGTGACCTTCAAACAACTATCCAAGGTTAAACCAATGGCACCTTCTTATCTCACCCTTCGAATCAAATAACTTTTGTCTGAAATATTTTTTGGTATAATGTGTATTTTCAGAGATAATAGCTTGTAACACTTTAAATGCCCCACTCTGTATGTATATATTAACAAATCGACTATTAAATCACAAACATTTATTCTATATAAACCATATAATGAATTAATTGTTAAACAATCTGTGATGAATTAGCTTTTACTTTTCGTGACTTAATAATCGAGACATTAATATTAGTTAAATGTGATTTGTCAATGAATAATATACGCGAAATGTAGATACGAAAATAACTCTTTTCGTACATACGTAAAAGCGCTCGCTGAGTTGCGTGCTATTTTCCAAATATATAAACATACGTGTAATTGAGGAGGCATATGCACAATGTCTCTGGGCCTTCTTTATTACTATTAGTATATCTCATTATTATTATTAGTTTTACCAAAGCTCGCCGTCTTTCTCCTTAGCCGGAACTTCGATCACTCGTGGTTTATCGATTATTCTAGCCGTGCGAAGTCCCTTTTCCACGATGCCAATAATCCATGCTTGATATCCCTCCTGTTTCTCGATGTCTTTACAATATGCCGCAGCCTATAAAATTACATTGTTCATATCAAATCGTCAATATTCAATGTATCTTAAAATTATCCGTCGCTTGACAATTAAATTTGTGTAAATATAAGTTTTTTTGAAATTGGATATAATTAATTTAAATTAATATACAATAGAAGTGCACAATTGGAAGAGTAAGGAACATCTACACTAGTTAATGATAAATAATCGTAGAACAATTACAGTTTCTTTAGAGATTACCGTCTGCAAAGATTCTCTCATAGATAGTAATTTATTGTATCAGAAAAGAAACTATAATTTGTAGCCATAAAGCAAAAGAAATTGAACACGATTGTGAATGTTCTTACCTTACTAAGTTACTAGAATTCTACATCTTACTAACAATAAACTATTCGGCATCTATGCAAGCATTTTATTAACCTGTTCTCGAGGAAGGCAGATAAGCAAACCGCCGCTCGTCTCGGCTGAATGACCCTGCAACAACTGGAACATGTTGCCGCATGCCTTCGCCACTGCTGCCATTTTGGAGATAACAGGCAGATTATGGATAACAAAGGAGACTTCATTCTTTTGATGTTTGGCTAGATTCTGAGCATGTCCTAAAAGGCCGAAACCAGTAACGTCTGTGGCTCCATGTGCATTATACTTGTGCATCAATCTTGCAGCTAAAAAAGTCAATAAAATATTCATAATTAATTTCAATTAATATAATAAGAAATTTGATTAGTTAATTTTATTGAAGCATTCTTTGATAATTGTCAAATCTGGTTTTTAAAATGTCGAGGAAGAGACACTTTTCATATAAACTTCAACTGATGACACATAATAAATCAATGTAACTATACAATTATAGGAGGAACATATCAATTAAATATCAGTTAACAATAAATAATCATGAAAGAACCTCCGTTTCTTTACCTGCCGTTCTTTAGAATACCTCATAAGTATAAGATACTCTACTGTATGGAGCAGGAAAGATAATCTATATAATTTATGGCTTACAAAAAGAACAAGAGAGAGACAAATATCTGACGCGAGGTGATTAAAATCAATCGAATCTCTTTCAAAATATCAGGAGAAAAAGCGCTTTTTGCGTATCAAATTTCATAGACAATAAAATAGATATCAAAAGTAAATTCAAATAGAATTTTAATTCAAAATTTACAACGTGTTTAAAATAATAAAATACGATAATTTTCCTCAATATTTTCCAAGGAAAAAACGACTCTATTGATTAAAAATTTTGTTATTAAAGTTAAGAGTTTGAGATATTCTATATGTAAAACAACTTTCACATCAACGCGCATCATATAATGTAATGTATATACCTGTTCTATTCAATCTGGCCATACTATCCATTGCACGTTGATAACCTTTTCTCACATCTTCCTCGCTGACCACAAGCTTGATTCTATTCCAACGATCAGGCTGATCAAGCCATTGATGCGCATTGACGGCGACTTGCGTGCCGAGAGGTTTTGTTAGAACCAAGACATCTCCCACAACAGCGTTATCTGGTCTAAACCGAGAAATAAATTTAAATAAACTTACTTGGAATCAAATCTAGTAATGTCGATTAACAATAATCATAATTACTTAATTACGTACACAATGTACTCGTTTGGCTGGCAAACAGTAGTGGCAACACCGCCTATAGTGCACCAAGGATTTACAACCGTTTGACCACCAGTCACCGTAGTACCTGCCTCTAGAGCAGAATCCTTGAATCCTCTCATAATCAGTGGCACGACGACATCGCGCTCTTTCTCAGTCATTTTTGTGCTAACTCCCAACAGCATCAGCATGTTGTCGCATTCCGTGACACCCATCGCGTATAAATCGCTGAGGACATTCGCGCACGCGATTTTACCTGAAAAGTATCTCATGGCGATGAAGAAAAAGTAGCACACTCAATACAGAATTTGCTGATTTAATGATACTTTATATGCTTTCTTTGGCTCGTTGTCTTCTTTCTTACCCATCATGTAAGGATCATCAACTAGCGGGTAAAAAAAATCTGTGGTCTGTACCAGACTGAGCCCGCCGTGTCGTACCGGCGTAACAGAGGAATCCATGCCAATGCCTAAAACAATATTATATGCTTTTGTTAAATTATTGATATAAAACAATTTAAAAAATATGTAATATAAATGTTTTTTTAAGTAAAGAATTATAATTGATTGCTTTATAAATTTGAAAAAATATAATCTAATTATTATTATACGACATATTTTATCATTTTTAAAAAATCCTTACAATATTATATAATTGCAGTATTATTAAAATAAATAATATATAAATGTTTATTATACACAAATATGATAAAAAAAGGCTAAAATAAGAAAAGCAATATATATATGTGCATGTGTTTAAAAAAATTTATTTATTACAGAATGTTTTTAAAAAAATGCTTGTTAAAACCTATCCCTCAAAATTTTGCATTTAAGAAATAAATAATATTCCAATATATTGTTATCATTACTGTTAAAAAATTTTGCTTTGCAAAAGCATAGTAAATTTATCAAGATTGAGAACATACTTCCGGTACCACGTAAAAAAAATTAGGCGGGAGGACAAGCCCGCCATTTTACAGCAGGACTGCACCTTGCGGCGCTCTTGGGCCCCGCACAAATTATGGTAAAAAGGAAAAAGAGGGGAAAAAAAAGGAGAAAAAGAAAAATCCTATGCGTCTCAATTTCAAATTTTTTCGTAGTACAATTAAAAGAAAAATAATGAAAGTATACAAAATTAGATAATCGTTCTCTCGACAATGTTAAAATCTCAAGAAGCGGTCCTATTGATATTCGCACATAATTTTTCGCCAAAATCGAAAAAGAGTGACAGAAAAAAGTATACACGGTGGGTGAAAGATGTCTGCTCGCAAGCGCGCCGCAACAGGGGGCTCACTCACCGATACGCGGAATCGCCATGTGCATGAAGTGGGCATGCTCGTGATCCTGTGCAGACGCGTCATCAGCCTGTAGTCCCTCAAGGAGCTTACCAAGAATCTCCTGAGGGACCTTACACCCTCATCCTTTCAGATCGGCGAAACGCGTCAGACGGAAGGATGCATCGAGATCATGCGCCACCGGATCGAACGGCCTACGCAGCGCCAAGGCATTCGGATTCCCCTCGAGCTCGAGCTGCGCCACAGCCAGGGCGTCCTGTGCCCCCGGGGTGCCCTGCAGTTCCGCCATCTTGCCTGAGCGATTCACTACAGATACAGACAAAAGCGCAGATTATCAGCGGGAAAAGAATCCAATCGTTTTTACGCCTTTGCCGGCTCTGTCAGTCACAATGAGCCTCGCCGATGCCCGATGTCAGACAATAATCCCAGACGAGGGGAATACGTTCCCTTCTCACGCGACGTTCCTTATCGTTCCGGGTGTTCTCACGCTCGCCCGGGAACACGGATCCGCGATCGGACTGTAACGCGTGGCTGTCGAAGGACAGCCACTGGGATCTCCCGCGCGCGAACTCGCAGCAAATGAGAATTGTACTGTTCCGCACCGGCGTCGACTAACCGGGACCGTGAGCGTCGACAAAATGGACGCGCCACCGCCGGTAACGCGATGCAATAGCGGGGGCGCGAGCGAGGCCCCATGATGCCACCGCCACGGTGCCGGTCGCGCGCTCCGATTGGCCAGTTTCAAACGCGCGCATGCGCACTCTCCTTCGCCCGCGTCGTCTTGCCTCGCAGGAGCGTAGCGGGTCACGCGCCAGCCACCAGCTATCAAGGCTACGTTCCAATTTCCGATATTCACTGCCAGTACTGAAAATCTATAGTGTACGTGACGTAGACTATAGATTTTTAGTACTGGCAGTGAACATCAGAACGCAGTCCAAGTATGCCGTCTTCTCTCGTTGTATATAACACACATACAGAGTGTTTCAAAAGTGCAGGTCAATCGCTCGGGAGGTGATTGGGGACCCAGAAACAAAAAAAAAGTTGGTATGAACATAGGTCCGGAAATGCATTGTTTTCGAGTTATCGCCATTTTTATGTTGAAATTCCAAATTGTTTTGCTTTCGAATTTTTTTGTCAACATTGAAAGAAGAAATGGTTTTTAGGAGTTTTATAACATAATTAAAATCAAATAAAAGTTGCGAGCTGCTTTAGCACTACTCAGGATAAAAAAAATGATAATAAAATATTATTCGATGACGAATCATCCTGTTTTAACCGATCATAGATTAGAATTTAATCACGATTTTGATTGGGATAAAGTCGAAATTCTGGATAGTGAACTTTTGCTTAAAAAACGCTCAATTTCTGAAATAGTGTACATTAAAAGGCAAGAAAATAACTTTAATTTGCAGACAGACAGAATGTTTATTTACACCTCTGTATTCCATATTTACTTTATGTATCGTGCGATATGAAGAGACTTGACATTCTGTCTCGAACATCCGTATATGTAACATTTGCGTTTTGTACAACATGGGTGACTCACTTAATAAGTTCGGTATATTTGTATTGCTAGTTGCTTTTTTAATGTAGTATATTTTATCGGACAGTCCTTTTCTGTCTCGAAATTCCATTATATAACATTTACCTTCTGACAACATGGGTGACTCACTCTTGGTCTGCGTATTATTACTCTGTTACATTTTTGATATAATATATTCTATATACTTTGTAATTGCGCTGAAGGTGGTCCAAAAAAAGGACCGAAACGTACGCTTTTTATGATTGTGTCTATCATTTAGTTAAAATATCAATGTAATTTGATTGTAATAAAACATATGCGCACAAATTACCGCGCTGGCTCTTGATTGCTTTTGTCTCCTTCGCATAACAAAAAAATACAGATAAAATAAAAAATAAATGAATAAATACAAAATCATCTCTTCTTACAATTTTGACAAAAAAATTTGAAAGCAAAGCAATTTGAAATTTCAACATAAAAATGGCAATAACTCGAAAGCAACGCATTTCCGGACGTATGTTCATACTAACTTTTTTTCTTGTTTTTAGGTTTCCAATCACTTCTCGAGTGATTGACCTCCATTTTTAAAATATCCTGTATACGTCATAGGGCATCTAATACGTTTGAGTTTACCGCCCGCCTAACATCTTTTTCACGCAACACGCTCCCTATAAATCTAAATGTCGCGATGTGATTAGGAGCGGAGAAACTGATTCGGAGACGCTTGAAATTCAATCTAATTCTTATCGTTAACTTAAAAAAAAGTAAATGCCCTATTTTCTAAATAAATATTTGTAGTCATTTCATTAACTTTTCTCGCGAATCGATGTATTCGTATGAATGGTGCGCGGTTTTCGCTGTCCGTCGTCGCGGATGCAAGATTATCCATATTTAATCAGCATTGATCCCTCGTCTAACTCACGTGAAAAGCTTTTATTTCGCATAACAGGATGATCAATGTGTGTGATTCGTGCAATATAGTGCGCATATGAATAATAAATATGCATGCACATGTCGGTGTATGTATATGTACATACATTACATATATGCGACAAATGCCACGACACTGATCGAGATGCATCAAAGTTTTTCATTATGGATGCGTAGTACATGCATATTAACGCCACGTTTCGCGTAATCTCAACAAATTTTGCAATCTCCAAATATGTAAACAAATTTGGTACTTATATTATAGATATATCCACAAAATAATTGTAAAAAAATATTATGATGATAATTGTTAATACTTGCCACATATTTAAAGAAGGGGCACGCAATACGATCTGACGATCGTCCTGGAATGCAGCACGACTGATCGCGGACTTCGCCTCCCGTTCGCAACATTTCCCGCGCAAATCGCAGAAACAGTCCGCTCCTTACAAGTTCCTACATGATTGCGTTTTAATATTTTTGCGCAAAATAATGTTCACAAAATGTCTTTGATTGCTCTTTTACATAACATATATAAATATTATATAATATATATAAAGGGTTTCCTTTTAATTTTTAAAACTCATATTTTACATATATTTTCGCAGACATAGAAAATCAAATCTTCTGGAAAAAATTACGTTTCATCAAATAAATCACTCGAGGCGATCCAATTAATGAGATTTCCGAGAATTAAAGTTATCGAAAATAGACAGGTAAATGTAAGTAATAGCAGAGTTGTTCGAAAAAGACATCGACATATATTATTATGCTCATGAAATGGGGACGATGATTGGAATAATTTCTTTGTTTGAATTTACGGCTTAATTAATTATGAATGACTTACATTGGGTAAAATGTTGTTAAACGAAGTATATGTATCGGTACATGTATCATGTTTGCGAATCAAACATTTGCATCGTGTTCGAATATATCGACAGAACCGTAAACGTCAAACACTCTGTGTTATCAGATGGAATTCTAAAACATAAATGAATTTTTACAACACAAATCTTTTAATTTAGACTATATCCGTAAAGTCATTATCTGAAAGAATGAGAGAGAAAGAAAAAGAGGAGGGGGGAGGGAGAGAGGGAGGGAGGGAGGGAGAGAGAGGGAGGGAGAGAGAGGGGAAAGGGAGGGGGAGAGAGAGAGAGAGACATTTATCAACGTTTATCTTTGATACATGCAATCGACTAACATAAATATACATATATGAATATCGAGACGATGAGATTCCCCAGCAAACACAGATACATCCCAGCAAACACAGATACATAACTGTAACATTGCCATAATAAAACGGAATGTAACAAGTAATATAACGTATTTGTTACATGTAACATTCACGTTAGTTGTAATTTCCCACTCATACAAAATTGCAGTGATGAGATTCTGTTATTAAAGACCGACTGTGGGTATATTCTTTATAGCTGAACTGAACTAAACTGGCTGCATTTTCCCAATGTGGAGAAAAAAAGATAAACTCTGAATTAGTGCAGCCAGTTCAGCGCAGTTCAGCTATAAAGAATAACAGACTCTGTACTTTACAGGAGTGATATGTGACTGGAAAATATTCACTGCGCTCTGTACATACCTACAATAAATATGATAGGTAAGTAGAAATGTTTTATCGGTAACATTATATAATATATATAATATATAATATATATCATTAAAACAATTACATAAAAAGTTTAATAAATTTTTAATGATGAAATAATGATATTAAATAAGTAGTGATTAAAAATTATTTATTGTCAACGAGCTATTATTAAATTAATAATATGGCCGAGGACGTTGCAATGGGATACGAATGTATGCTCCAACATAGGGCGCAACATTTGTAGAGGCGCAAAAGTTGAAGTGGGCGCGAATAATTTTTGAAGTTTTCAAAAACATGTTGACCGCTCGGTCTGCGATGACCGTCTTTACCTGGCTCGATGTCGCCTACTTGTAGAATCTCGCTTAACTAGAGATAGGATTTCGCGGCCCTATAAATCGAGAAGCAAAAAAAACAACAGCTAAAAATCATTAGCTTGCGCTGGGACAAATTCCAGCATAGAAGCGCCTAACACTGTCGTAACGCCCCGATGATGGCTAACCATAAATAAATTTTTGTGACTGTCAAGTAGACTTGCGTGTCCAGTTTCCTTCAACGCAAATAGATTTTTCGACGAGAAAAATATTTGGGTATTTTGTTATTTATTAATTCACACACACACACACACACGAATCGAAAAAAGAAAGAGTATTCTCCACAATTTATATTTCATCAATCTAAAATATTTTTAAAAACTACATAATATTTATATGTCTTGGTATTTTGTAAGGAAAAATAATTGCTCGCTTCTCAAAATTCCATACAACGTCAAGAAGAGAGTAGAGACCGGGAGAATTAAGAAATAAAGCAAAAATTGATCATGAAACTAGGAAATATTATGATATTGTACGTGCATAAGTCCAGTAAGCGATAAGTCCAGCGCACACGTACTGAGCCCATTGCCCATATCTCGTTTCGTTTCGTCCTTGTCGTCTCTCGTCTCGCATCGCGCGGGGAAGTTCAGTTCTCAGTGTAATATTAGATTCGGAACGCGTAGAGACCGGGAGAATTAAGAAATAAAGCAAAAATTGATCATGAAACTAGGAAATATTATGATATTGTACGTGCATAAGTCCAGTAAGCGATAAGTCCAGCGCACACGTACTGAGCCCATTGCCCATATCTCGTTTCGTTTCGTCCTTGTCGTCTCTCGTCTCGCATCGCGCGGGGAAGTTCAGTTCTCAGTGTAATATTAGATTCGGAACGCGCAACACGCCAAACCGTGGTAGAGGGGATAACACACAATAGAAAACCGCGTTCATGTGAGACATGTACGCGGTTCTCGATTGTATATGTATCCCCTCTACCATGATTTGGCGCGTTGCGCGTCCCGAATCTGGCATCAGTGGTCCTCAGTGTCCTCACCTCAGATCCTCAGATCGTCAGTCGTCAGTCGTCAGTCTCGCTCGTGTGTCCGAACGGGAAGGATGGAGCGCATAGCGACTAGCAATTGCGTGTGCGCGTGATCGATCGGCGCGAGCCTGTCGCGAGAGAGCCCGCACATTTCGCCCTCATATTCGCCACAACAATTTCGCGGATACGTCATCGCGAATTAATTAACGTCGTTGTCGTGATGACGTCGTCGCAGTGGCATCGTCATTCTTGCTGAAACGACGATTATTCTCTTCATCGTTTTGTTATCGTCGTCATCCCTTTTTCCCAGTCGATGAAGCGGCTTCTTCAACATAATGCAGGATATTCCCGGCGCGTCCGCCGACGACCACCGTGCCTCGAAATCGGTGCTACTCAACACCTTCGTCGTGAAAAAGAAGCGATGCCGCGTGTATCTACATCGTGGTACGCTCATCTGGGAAACCGAGCGGTCGCCTTACAGTAAGCGAGATTTGCTGTTCTTGACGCGCAGGAGAATTTTGACGACGAAAAGTCTCGTTGAGTTTTGTTTGTTGACGAAGGATTCGTGTTGATTCATCTTTCAGGAATGTAAGGTATTGCGAAGGTAATAGCGCGGAAGGAACTGGATCAAGGTTGTATTTTAATTAATATGGATTCTGTCTTATTTTTCGACGACAAAATTTCTCTCACGATAAATTTTTCTTGATGATAAATAAAATCGATTAATTAAATTGTTATCGAGGGGCGTACATTTCTTTGTAGCAGCAATGTTGAATATTTAAACATGAATATTATATATGTATATTTGAAAGCTATATTTTAATTAACGTGGAATTGATTTTAATTTTTGTATGGTGTGATAGAAAAATGCATTTATTAAAAATTATTTTTTTTTTATTAATAGATGTGGCAGTAATGGACTTATTATTCTACCAATTAAAAAAGTACATTTCTTCATATTTTAGAATATTGAATTGAATATTGAATTTTAGAATTAATTAATTTATAGTTGGAATTAATATTAAAATGTATTATACATGTATAAACAACATTTTTGGGGCACGCTAGCACAAGCTTCGTAGAAAGAACTAATAAATATTTAGATGAGAATTGGACAACAATTCGAACATTTAAAGCAAAAAAATAGAAAAACTATGGTTTTTCATTTAATTTATGGTTTTATCATTAGTTTGAATGCACTCTACTTTAAAGTTTAAATGCTTATAGCTTTTGAAAGAAGCATTTTTCAAACAAATGTTTCAGATAAAATTTACTTGTTTTTCCCCGTACAATCCAAATATGTAACATTTTATAGGGAGTTTTATTTGAAACTATAAAGTTATTCTTTGCCCCTCTTGAAGGGCGATCGGGGGCGATTTTCTATTTACATAGTTAGAAAGGTCTCTCGAATACATGAAACTTTCTCATAAACAACTTTTTGATTCAATAAATATTTTTAGAGTTATTGGCTTGTAACGTTTTATTTGCCTCACCCTGTATAAATATATTATCGTTCCATCGAGATAATGTATACATATATACGATATTTTTTCATAGGAAAAAAATGCTGAATATTTAACTCAAGATTTAGTTAGTTTGCTTTAGAATGAAAATTAATGAAATAAACATGACGCGTAAAATATGCTCACATTAGATGTTCGGTAGATAAAAAATGATAGAAGAGAAAGAGAGAGAAAGAGATAAAGATAGACAGATCAATAATTTTTTCGAGTGGACAACAGTTATGCGCGCTCCCTTTCTTGCCTTGATAAACTCTTCTTAGAGTGAGTCTTACTGTTTAAAAAGATAAATGAACACTGGATTGGATAATTATTTTATTGACGCAATGTATTTCTTCTTGGCAGAAAAGAGAGAATTAAATATTTAATTCCAGAGTTTTAATTGATTCTCTTTAAAGTCATATTGAGTTTCACGTAACAGATGCTCGCGCAATTTGACAGTTTGATGGAAGCTACATACACACAGACACATTTGTGATAGATATTTATGTAAAATTGGCGTACAAAAATTTCTGGACAAGTATTTTTTTAATTCTGTCTTTTGAAGGCAAAATTAAAATAAAATGAGATCGAAATTATAGAATCTCACGCATTCTACTTGTCATGAGCAGATCAAACGGAATAGATTAGATGGACATAAAGACAGATCAATAATAATTCGAGTCAATAGTAGCGCGCGCGGTTGCTTGCCTTACTTGTCGTTCCTTTCTTGCCCTAGTTCTCATCCTCTTATCTTACCTTATTTTATCTCATCTGATTTTTTGCGTTTCTTTGATATACTATCTTGCAACTTATTTCTCACGCATTTTTCTTTTTATATGAAAATAATAATTCACACAGAGAAAGAAAGATAACGATCGTATCTTTCATTCGCTCTTTATTTGTTTTTCGCGCTCAGCAAATCTCAAGTTGTCAAGAGTTATTATAACAAATCGGAGAGAAAAAATATACTATTTTTTTAAGTAAAAAAATAATAATTGTTTTTAAGAAAAAGTATGTAATTATTTACAATGAATTTTTTAAAACAATTATTTGTTTGTCTTAAACTTATAGATTTTAAGATATTTTAGTGGATACATTTAAATGGCCTACCCTGTATATACAGGGTGGGCCAAAAGTCTGGATACAGTCGAATATCTCATAAACAATGCAATTTTGGAAAGAAAGTTTCAGACAAAAGTTGCATGGTTTCGAGAGAACCACATGATAAAAATATGGACTTGAGCTTGAGTGACCTTTTCAAGATGAGGTCAATGTGATCAATGTTTTCTTAAATAGAAACTCCATTTTTTATTGCTTATTCTTGTAGCTTATCTCGAGAGCTTTTCAAAACACTATAATAAAGTATTTTTTTATTAAGTATTTTTCGAGTTATTTTATATCTTAATCTGACATATTTTGACAAATAATTGTTAAAAAAGATATATTGTAAATAATTATATATTTTTTCTTAAAAACACTTATTTGTTTTTATACCAATTGATTTGTCTCATTATTCTGTACATAAAAATATTACGGTAGGATTATCGAAAACTAAATATTTTACGAGATATTTTATTTTTATATCAAAATATATCAGATTACGATATAAAATAACTCGAAAAATACTTAATGAAAAAATACTTTATTACAGTATTTTGAAAAGCTCTCGAGCTAAGCTACAAAAATTTGTAATGGAAAGTGGAGGTTTCCATTTAAGAAATTAAAGGTGATCTCTTCACGTGATCTTCAAATGACTATCCAAGGTCAAGCCAAGGTCACCGTTGTACGTCGCCGTCTAAACCATACAACTTTTATTTTAAAAGTTTTTTTTGTAAAATTACATATTTTCGAAATATTTGCTTGTTAAGATTAAAAAGACTTACCCTGTATGTATATATATTAGGGTGGTTGTTAAAAAAAAGATTATCGCTGCCGCCCCCTCAAAGAGTAGTAATTGATAAAAAAAAAGTTTTGTAAATATCCCAAGTCTGTAAATTAAAGTGAACAGGTGTCTCTTGAAAAGAGAAGTTTGGAAGACATTTTTTTAATTTTTGCTTTGTTAATTAGCTGTATCAGCAGTTGAGAAAATGTTTTTTTGCAGTGCGGCAAAACAATCGAATTTTAATGAATTTTTTTATCAATCATACAAAAAAAAATTCTTAACTGCTGATACAGCTATTAACAAAGCAAAAATAAAAAAAACGTCTTCCAAACTTCTCTTTTCAAGAGGCACTTGTTCACTTTAATTTACAGGCCTGGGGTTTTACAGAACTTTTTTTTTTATTAATTACTACTCTTTTAGGGGGCGGCAGCGATAATTTTTTTTTTAACGGCCACCCTGCCCTTAAGACTAATAAGCGCTTATTAATATAACTCGAGCAATTCAATCTCGCAAGATGGACTAGTGTGTGACGTGGTTAAGTGTGTGATGCACGGTAAAAGCTGTATGTCGATTGTGTGGCCTTGACCTGTCATTGGTACAGCATCTTTTGCGCCAGTAGCGTATATCTCATTACGTTTTTTTTTCTTTTCTTTAATAGCTGTGTGATTATACATGTACGCAAAAGCAATTAAAGAAGACAAAAAAATGGAATTGTAATATAAATAGAATTGTTGCTCTTTAATATGCAATCTTAAATAGCTGAAGGCAGAATTAAATTTTTACTGGACGCATCTTCGATGAATTGATTTGTGACGTGATTGTAACAAAATATAATTCTACGATCAAAAGTCGAATTAAATATATAACCAGGATGTCAATTGCACATGTTAAAAACAAATTTACAAACATATATAAATAGGTATATAATTCAAAATAATTTTTAAAATGTCAATATAATTTAAAATAAGATATAATTTAATTTTTTTTATAA